GACTGCAAAAACTTCTCAAGAATTTTGTCGGACAATAAGATACTTTCATTTCAAATCTTATTACCAAACCCTCCCAGAAAAATCAGCTTGCTGGTTGTCACCAACCATAATGTCACCAAATCGACATATTTGGGGTGGCGGACAAACTCAAAATCCCCAACATTTTTGTCGGACAAATTTTTTGGGGGGTTTAAAAAGAATATATCTTTCATTTAAACTAAAAAAAAAGTGCTGGTCATAACTATGCCAGATTGACATATTTTCCTGAAAATCACGGGAAAACTTACCACTGTTGAATTTTCCTAGTAGTCAAATCCTGGGAGACTCGTCAAACTTAAGCTGCAAGCAAAGTTACAGCTTGCTGGTAATCATTTTTTTCTTTGTACGTGGGCCCGTGGACTAGTGTGACGGTCGGTTACCGATCGGTAAAACAACGCCCGTGTGTAAAAGGCGTAACGCCTCTTTCACACGGACGTTTTGCCGGTCGGTAGCCGACCGTCAGACCTGACGGCGACGTTTCTGTGTGTAAAGCTCTATTTAAGGGCTCTTACACACGGACGGTATTTTGCCGATCGGTATTTAAAACGATCGTCAAAACAACGACTAAAATTTTAAATTACACATAGTTAAATAAAGTTTTACACACAGAAACGTCGCTGTCAGGTCTGACGGTCGGCTACCGACCGGCAAAACAACGTTCGTGTGAAAGAGGCGTAACCATGTGTAATTTAAAATTTTAGTCGTTGTTTTCCCGATCGTTTTAAATACCGATCAGCAAAATAACGTCCGTGTGAAAGATGCGTAAGGTCTCTTGCACACGGACGGTATTTTGCCGCTCGGTTTAAAACGATCGGCAAAACAACCGACTAAATTTTAAATTACATATCGTTAAATACATCTTTACACACAAAAACGTTGCCGTCAAATGTGACGGTCAGCTACCAATCGGTAAAACAACGCCCGTGTGTAAGAGGCGTAAGAGGCATTACGATCACAATAATTCGTACGCACCTAATGTACATAATTCAGAACTATCTCCATCCTTCTACGGTTTTTTTCACATGCATCTACGGATGTAGGTATCTACAATAAAATTAACAATATACTGCTTGACAGTTAAGAAGCTGAATTGGAAATACAGTCCTCTTCCACCCATCGTAGTGATCAGTCGTCTAGCAGCAGTGCAAGGAAGATCGCCGTCCAAAAATACATGGACGCGGCCGCGAGACACTACAACCCCCTTCTTATACAAGCCATTGACTACGTTCCTGACGTGACAGACACATAGAGACAACCTAGACACTTACTTATTGACCTGGGATGACTACCCTAACCTGCTCGCCTTCCCATACTAATCTTGTATGTTTCAGAAACAGCCAGGAGCAAGAACCAAAGAAGTAACAAATTACATTCCCTAGCTACAAGCTATTCCCAAAAACCCACTCCTCACGACGACTACCTCTCGGGGGGCTAAACAAGCCGGCGAAGAAAGAAAAATAAATACACGAAGAGTGCCAGAAGAGGCTCTCCTGCTGGCGAGGGTCAGCCAGGGCAAGAGAAGGTCCCGCAAAGAGCCTACACTGGCCATGCTTGTGGTCGGGGTAGATGATGGACGGGGCCCACCTTCACGAGGCTGTCCAGGCCTACAGAGATAAAGCAGGAAAATAAGGGATAGTCCCCCTGGGTCGCAAATTATCGAGGCCACACTTAACACCAAAAATAACGGAACAGGCGCATATACTCATCGTCAAGAATTAACAGGTCTTCAAACAGGTAAGTAGCTGTATGTTGTCGTTAAGATTTGTCATAATTTTGTTTAAAATGTTTTGGCCGTCATGAGTTTTCATTTTCAGGAGATAGTCATTATACCTTATATGGTAAAAATTTTAAAAATTTATTTCTGAAAAAATCTTAATAAATCATGGAAACCGTCTCCTATTAGTATACATCAGGGTGAATTAGTTATTTGAGGTCTTCAAGAAAATGTTTATATGAGCATAGTTAAGCTATTATTAGTTTTCACGTATTTAGTGTTTTTATTTTAAAGAAAAATAAAAATTACTTCAATAACCTTGTGTCACAAAAGCATTCTGCTTTTGTATGAACTTTATTGGTAAAAACTTAAAATCTGAGAATAAAAGAAATGACATTGTGTAAATTTAGGTCTCGTTAAGAGGATTAAACTCTTTTGGATGATTTTAAAAAGTTAATTTCTGCTCTTCAGTATTTCTTTATTTACGAAAGGACACCTAGTTATATAATTAAATTACTATTATAGAAAAACAATATTTATTAGAAAAATATACAAATAACAATACTGCAACCAAAAATTATTTACTCCAAAGAAAGGGATTACCATCTCCAATTATCAAGTCTAGATTTTCTAAGTGCTGCAAGTGACTTTTCAGCCCTCATTCGTGCTTCAGTATGTACTTTTAAACTATTTCTTTGAGATCCACTTTGTACTACTGAATCGTGTTGCAATGCAGCAGAAACACCTACAAATATAGATAAATATAGTGTTCCCGTTTTATAAGGCGATTAGTATATCCTGGGAAATGTGTTTTTCTTGAAGATTTTGAAAACAGTCATATTTTCTATGATTGTCATTCATTACAGGAAAGAACTTTTTTTATACATTGACTTTTGTTGATATCTTTACAGGTTACAATCACTCACACACTCCAAAAACATATGTGTATGAGATGTATTCAAACTTTTTTTAAAATTAAAACTAACATTATTTTGCAAAATCAAATTTATGTGACAATTATTTTTACAAAGACCCATTTACGTTGTCATAACTTTGAACCATCTGTACAATAACTTTAGATACAATCTATTTGTAGAGTTTGAAAGACGGATAGTAACTAGGAATATATGTAGTTACAATTCAGAATCAGAGCAGTCAAATTTTAGTTGCTCCGAAACACATCCGGCCAGTTTTTCAGATGGCAGTTCCGATTCTGAAAATATTTTTGTAGCAAAGCTTTTGGTAGAATTACCATTGAAGAAGCTAATAGAAAAGAATGGAAACGTTTAGAAGGATTGGATGCGACCAATCTTCAGAGGACATTGCCGAATGACCCAAGAAGATCACCCTTATCTGAGAAGTTCGAACCAAGAACTGAAGTGAACATCAGGATAAGCCTAGAGATTCCGATAGGGGTCCAGCCCCACAGTATCTAGCCCAAGAACAATACGAGCAAGTTAGATTCCTAGTTAAAACTATGTAAGTCTGTAACTGGCAATGACCCAACTTAAGTGAGAACATTACAATACATAAATATATTTTTTTATACTCTTCTTTAAAAAATTATTATTTTACTTGTTTTGCCAAAAAATATTCATGTTTAATAATTTTTCTTAAAAAATAACAATTTCCAAGGCATATCAATCAACCTGTACAGTCCATTAAAATAATAATATGTAAAAGATAAATGAAGTTTAAATATTTCTTATTAAATAAACAAAGAATATTCATATTTTAGAAATTGTAACTTCTTCAGAATTGCAAATGTTAATTAAACCTACTGATTTTTAATTTTTTAAGGGAGCTTATTTTTTTTAAAATTGCATTAGTAATTATTTTTATCTGAAATAATAATAACATGACAATCAGTACTGAAGTATTTAATCATAAAAAATATAAATTGTTCATAAAAAGATAGGTACCTAAACAAATAAAATACATATAGCTAGAACTGTTATTCTTGTTCTTTACAGAAATAGGTATAAGACATTTTCATAGGTGTTGAATAAGATCATTAGACTTCAGTTAAAAAAAAACTGCATATATGTTTTTTAGAAATTGAGGAAAAAATCATATGAGGTTCAGGATTTGAAATTTTGATTTTTAAATAAATAATAATAAATATTGAAACTTCATTTGTTTTATTTTTATGTTAATGGTTTGAGATTTGCATATCGTCGTACAGTGTGAAAAATCTCATATGTGTAAAATACCATTTTTTACAGGAGGGCCTAAAAAACAGCTATTTGGAGACGAATTTAATTCTTTTGCTATGAGAATGATTATAATTAACAAATAGGAAGTTTTATTAAACGATAAACGGAATGAAAACCAACCAATTGCATCTATAAACTAAGCGCCACATAAGAGGTTTTCCATGCTCAACGATGAGATATTATACACCTATAAACCAGAATGTGTTATATGTATTAGGACTGTGAATTAATTTTGAGGGATTTACAAAAAATGGAACACTTCTGTAACTATATTTATGTCAAGGTTCTGTCATTAGGCTTTACTTTTTATTATGTGTCATTTTACTGATGTGTGAACAATATATTTTTTATCAGCTCCGAAGATGTCGAATAATGAACCAACAAATCACCATTTGCAGGAAGTTTTACTTTTCTGTTGAAACTCATAGAGTACTATTGGTAACTTATAGTGAACATACTCCATCGATAAAAAAAGTGTGATTATTGCTTTCGACATTTTAGAAGTGATGATTTCGATACAATTAACAAGGTCAACCGAAAAAGTTCGAAGATGAGGAATTGGTAGCATTACTCAACCAAGATTCATATCAAACGCAAGATGAACTTGCTTACTTGTTGAATGTTGGTCGATGAACAGTTTCCAAACATTTAATTGTACTAGGTATGATTCAAAAGCAAGAAAATTGGGTAAACAAACTCAAGCCGAGACATGTTAAACGGCAATTTTTCACATGTGAATAATTGCTTCATGTCAAAAAAGAAAGGGTTTTTTGCATCGTATGCTCTGTATTTGGTGGGACCAGCTTGGTGTTGTGTACTGCTTCAACCGAATGAAATCACCACTGGTGAATGCTACCAAACACAATTGATGCGTTTGAGCTGTGCATTGAATGAAAGACGGGAGCAATTTGAGCAAAGACAAGAGAAACTAATTTTTCAACATGACGTGTTGCTCGTGATGTCAAAAAATACTTGGAAACGCAGACTTAGGATGTTTTACCCCACCTGCCATATTCACCAAGTATTGCTCCATTCGATAACTACTTACTGTTCCAATCCATGGAACACGGTCTGGCTAAGCAGCACTTCTAATCCTACGAAGATACAAAAAATTTGGTCGATTGGTGTATAGCATTAAAAGATGAGTTGTTCTTTCGACGCGTAGATAGGAAAAAGTAGTGGCTAGCGATGGATAATACTTTGAAAAATAATAATATACACAATTTTTTACAGTAAAGCCTTGAATTTACAAAAAAATCCCTCAAAATTAATTCACAATCCTAGTAGAAAGAAAACATGGTTTAAAGTTTATTATGGAATAAGCTTATACAGGGCTTTAAATGGGGGTCAGATTTTTAGGGGTAACAGTACATGTTCCCCTGAATACGAATTTGAAATTCTTTTTTTTTTAATCAAATAAATAGTCAAGTTATAATTATTTTTCTTAAATTACACTTTAATAATCATGCATTGTAACAAAATTGTTGGCAACCTACAATGCATGCGAAGGGAGATGTGTGGGTCAACAGTAACATAGTGACGGTGGGGTCAGTTGTTGCACCGCGATTAGATATAGTACATCTAACTGTGAATTTAAATGTTTTTCATCACTGGAAGCCATCAACAGGGTGTGTGGTGCAGTACTATCCTCTAGACAGGTGTGTTATCTAATTAGCGACCATTATTAGGAAACAATGACGAAGGTGGTATATTAAGTGTCTGTAAGAACTGAGAGACCCACAAAGTATAGTTAGCCATTTTATTTCTTGTTCAGTGGCGACCGTTAGAAGTTATATTGAAACAGAAAACGATTTATTAAATTCCCAACGAGTTCCGTATCCTGAGGTCCACATAGTTAAATGTAGCAGGTTACACATTTAAATGATCATGCGAGCTTTGAACGGCAATAAACTAACAAATGGGAACAAATTCAGAGAAGCGCTATAAAAATGTGAGTAAACAGACTATTTATTTTTATGTATTTCATTTATCATTATTGATTAGACTCAACAAAAGTAACAAATGCCAAAGAGCATTACGTCACGGTGAGTGGTATGCAAATTTGTTTTTTAATAACCTTTTAAATATACAGGGTGTAACTAAATAAGTGTAAAACATTTAAGGGGGTGATTCCTCATCGAAAAAAAGATAGGATCTTTCATATAAAGAAACGTTGCAAATCAGTGGATAGGTCGAGGAGGACCACAGAATTGGCCCGCTCGATCCCCGGATCTCAATCCTCTTGATTTCTCTACTTGGGGCCATTTGCAGCATTTGGTTTATCGTACTCCTGTTCGCGATGTAGAGGACTTAAGAAACCGCATTATCGATGCGTGCAGGGTAATTAGAGAGACTCCAGGAATATTTGAGCGAATACGTGGCTCAATGCGCCGACGTCTAGACGCATGCGTAATGTCTGAAGGTAGACATATTGAACATTTACTATGATTTCTACATGTTGTATGTTTTGTTATTATTAAATTAGTTTTGATTATTCCCCTTTAATCATTTAATGCAGGTAGTAACTACAAAATAACAGTAAATCCAGTCCGCATTTATGACGATGTATCTCTGTAGTTGTTCGTAAAATAATTTTTTACTGCGAACTGGTTTAATTTGGGCAAAAAATTCAAGAGACATTTTTTTTTAGAATGAAACAGGCTATCGGAAATAATTTTTTAAATGGTAAAAAAATAATAAGACAAAAAATTACGTTGGAAATAAATTTTAGGGGTTGCGTTTTCCACCCCTTACAACCATGGGGTAAACCAAATAAATTACTGGCTAAGTGTCTTTTTGGTAGTAGAAAATGTCAGGTTAATTTCAATATTGTAACTTGTTTAGTGCTTGTGAAAAAAATTGTTAAACAAATTTTATGTACCCCCTTTAAGGGGCTGTATCTTAACAAGGGATGCTCCAATGAAGTTTCTTTATATGAAAGATCCTATCTTTTTTTCGATGAGGAATCACCCCCTAAATGTTTTACACTTATTTAGTTACACCCTGTATATGAGATTTAACAATGTAGACCCATTCCCAATTGTGCATGTGATGCGCCTAAAGTGTGCCGTTTTTTAAGGTTACACTACCATATCTAGCGGTGGGATACGAAAAATACTATAAAAAGGTTTAAAAAAATTTTAGTTTTCACAATGGAATTTGAAAAAATGAACTACCAATACGTGTTTCTAAAGGTCAAAGGAAGCCTCTGTATAAATATGACCCCCACTCAAAATTATACCCTGTATAGATTTTTGTCGTTTATTAGCAATTAATAAAAAAATAAACAAAAGTTTAAATATCTTAATATATAAAATTTTAAATAGGTACCTTTTTTAGAAAATAATTTTCCTAGAATGAAGTCATCTTGAGATTCCTTAGATTGGGATTTCTGTTTTTTGTTTTTAATTTTTTTTATTTCACTTTTCACTAAACCCTCAACTTCCTCTCCTTCTATAGTGCCAGAGGTATCCACAACAGATTTTTTATTATGATTGCTCTTTTTATATTTTTTCCTCTTTCTCTCATGATTAAAGTGTTTATGACTAGAATCACTTACTGCACTTCTATTTTCAGCTATTGTATCAGTACTATTATTGTTGTCACTAAAATCTGTTTCCTTTGCGTCTGTGTTGTTGTGAATTTTAACAATTTTGTTTTGTATATCTTTGACTTTCTTTACTATAACTTCGGGATCCTTTACTTTACCCGAGACCAGAACATGATGTAACTTCGCAGTTTTTTCAGAATATTCAAGGGCATTTGAAAAACTAACGTTGGTTTCACAATCATCAACCCTGTTAGTTGCATCATCTTCTCTTCGCTTTGCTTTTTCCTTATTATAAAGTAGTAGTTCTTGAGCTGTTAACTTTTTAAGTTCCTGTTTTTCTTTTAATTTTTCTTGTCTTTCGAGTTCTAATTCAAACTGAAAAGAAGTTATAGGTGCAGAAGACTTTTCATCTTTCTTTGAGAGAGTTTTTGCTATTTGCTGTGCTAAATTCTTCATGGCTTGAATTTTATCTTCTGTAAACTCCACTGTTGGCAAATTGTCATGGGAGGTGGTAACAGTTGATTTTTTCCTTTTTTTATTTTTTTCCTTTTGCTTAATGTTTTCCTGAATCCTTACCTAAATAAATGAACTTATAATTAGATACAAAACAAAATTAAAACCAAAAAATATCTTACTCTTGATTCATGAAATATATTGGTTGTCTCTGGATTTGCATCGGTCGATTCCTGTAGTGAAAATAAATCGTGCAAATCAGAAGTTTTAAAAAATTTATTGGTCGTCGGATCAAGTAAAACCTTATTGCTCAGCAACTGCTTCCATACTTGTCTTTGATACATCTACAATGAAGGAAAATATTATTCAAGAATAATTCTAATGAATTCAAACATACCTTTTCCTCGATAGTACCTGCTGAAAGAAGTCTATATATTGTAACCTGTCTTTCCTGGCCAATCCTCCAAGCTCTTTCTCTAGCTTGTGTATCTGTAGCCGGGTTCCAATCAGGATCATAAATAATAACTCGATCTGCTCCTGTTAAATTTATACCCAAACCTCCAACTCTAGTGGTTAGTAAAAAGACATCATAACTTGAGTCCTTGAAAATATTATATACCTATATTTTCTCGTTTAAGAAAACTTTAAAATGCTGGCATTGATATTACTGTTCAAAAATATAATTTCAAGATATTGATAAAGAATACATGTATTTATAGTGTTTCAAAAAAAGGTTAATTGTCAACATCGTTATTAATAATATAAGGTTATCAATGTTCGACTCCTCTGCTGATTAATGTTCTAAACAAAAAAAACATGGAACATTATTTTTTATGACATACATACTTATAAAAAATAGTTTTTCTACAAACGTCAAAAAATGACAAGGTTTGCGTATTGACAACAATATGCGAAGTGACACTTTTTTTCGGATTCTTACGTTACCATGACACCGTGCGTGAAATACTTCGCGCACTAGGGTGCGAAGTAAATTTTTTAATATCTACGTTTTCCTTAGCATTAAGTGTTGATTTTAGCATAGAATATACTGCCCATAATGTGGAAGGTTTCACCTTCTTGGATCTTTCTGCAAAATATGCTAACAGCACATTTTCGGATGCTTTTCTTGCTTTATTTGTTTCACACCACTCCTTAAATTGCCGATATGCATTTTCATATTGGCGCTTCGATTTTTCCGGTAAAAGATTTTAAGTTACCAAATTGGCCGCATCTGCCAAATTAGGTGGGGTACTACTTAGTTCATCGTCACTAGCAATTTCCATTATTTTAAATAATATCTGGCACTTAAAAATTGAAGACGCGAGCACAAACGTCACTTTAAAATAATTATTATTGTTGTCAACAACAGCCACTTTGTTTCCATAGTAACAGTGAAAATTTGATTAGGAAAGACATTTTAAGCCAGCTCAACACTATTTTCTATAATAAATTAGGCATTTTACTTATTTATAATATTTTTAAGAGATAGATTTTGACGTTTGTAGAAAAAATATTGTTTGCATCTCGTGCGCGAACTACTTTGGTGGTATCGAATATTTTTTTAACTCGGCTTCGCCTCGTTAAAAAATTCAATTCTCGATCACCAAAGTAGCATTTCGCGCACTAGATACAAAAATAACTATTTTTTAATAAAACAAGTGTATTATGTCATATTCGAATAGGTTTTTTTTTGAGGATATTTTTTGATGACTTAATCTCTAACGGTAAGGATTTTCATTGTAGACCATAGTTCATCTCATGCATTAACCCATTAGCGCCTAAAGGTATCATATGGTGCCAATAAACGTCAAGATAAAAAGTGGGGTTTGAGAGCGATTTTTTGCTAGCTTACGTCAATCTGCTTATTTGCACGTCTTCAGTATGATTTATGAAGCCCTTAGGAGAGTTTATGCAGCGCTTTGTTTACATTTCACATTTTTTAGTATCGAGTGAAAAACTTGTTTGTATGAGTTTGTTGAAAACATGGACATCAACATCATGTAAGTATAATAATTATTAGATATTTTAATCTATACTAGTTGCTTTTAGTGTTTTATTATACTATTATATCTAAAAACATATTCCTATTCCAAAATAATTTAACTGATTATTTGTTTATGTATAACATTGATGTTCCCATATGGGCCCGTTAGGCAGTAGCTCAGTTGAACTAATATCTTTAGCTGTAAATTTTCTTTTAGTGGAATTACCTTTCAGGAAGCGTTGGATATTGCTCATGATAATGAAAATGTTTATGATATATATATATTGAGCCCCCAGAGAGCAATCTAACTGCTAGGCAACTTTCCCCTACAGCAGCAATTGTTTATTATTATAACGACAGATTAGGAACTGATTATGATAATATGGAGTTGTTGGAGTCAGTTGAAGTGACATGTGCTTTAGAGCCGAGCGCTTGTACCTGTACGTCCACTTTAGTATTGACTGCAAAACCTGTCACAACCGATTTTATCAAAGGAGACTTGCAAGAGGCATACCGTGAATTTCCCAACATAAGATCATTCAAATTACAACACAATGATTTTCGAGTCAGTAACGATATAAGGTATGATGACATGCATCATTATGTAACCACTACTCCTGAAGGTAAAAGAAGACGATGTGGTGGTGAAAACTGTAGCAGCCGAGGCTGCAAATGTAATATTGGCTTATGTGTTGACTGTTTTCGAAAGTTTCATACTGAGTAACAATATTTACTCATTATTTTAAGGTTTCGTTAAAAGAACAAGTTGCTTTTTACTTTTTTCATTGTTGCTCATTTCTAGTGATGTTGTGCCTAAAGGTCCCATATGGGAACACCTTGTTTTTCGGTTAATTTAGAGAAAAAATATTTTAAGTTGACTAAATATGTTAAATAAAAATGTTTACTACTTATTTGTATTACAAATTTGCATAATTTTTTGATTTTTTTTTATCGGCGTTAATAGGTTAATCATTACATTTAAACAAATTGTCTCCTTCAAGTATATGTAAAAATTCATAAATATTAATCGCTTTTCTTGATTTACACTATGATGGAGCAGTAATAAAATGTCATGTTTGTGAAACAATTTTGTTTAGCGGAGGTTAATATTACTGTAAAAAACATCAAAATCAAATGCTTAGAAAAAATGGGCTCTTTCATCTGGCTTATTTTACTGTACGATATAATTTTTATAACCAATGAGTGAAATATTTCAATGTATGTGACTAATAATGAATAATTTCAATGATTTTGGTGGAAATACAGGATACTTAAATAATCATACTCTGAAACCATTAATATTATACACAAATATTGACAAGTATATGTTACAATTAACTATTAATAAAAAAAAAGTTTGAAAAATTATTAATAATAACTAAACAAACAATGTTCTAGTCTATTCGACAAGTAAAGTGAGGAGAAGAATATCAGAAATTTGCATTTCAATTCACTTTATTTCTAGATTATATGATATAAATTCAATCACACTTTTGCCCCCACTAAAGTCACACTAGTGCGAATTCACACTGATTGAATTTTTCAAACTCTCTAGTTTGGCTTACAATAACAGACTGAGGCAAGCTGTGGTAAAGCTCGATTATTTGGGCTATAGAAGGGACTCGTGGTGGGGAATCATCAGCTGCTACCTGAGAAATACCAGCTGATCAAAAAAAACGGTGGTGCGAATTCGCACTAGTGTAACCTTTGAGGGTTCAGTATGTTATATTTATTTGTTATTTTATATCATTCAGAATATTTTATCTTTTTGGTATTAATAAATATGGTGCTGCTTTAATTTGAAACACTCTGTATATATAAAGTGCTAAACAAATGAAAGAATAAACACATGGGATAAAGGTTTAGATTCTGTTGGGGTTCCTCTACAAACACGTGAAATAGAAGTCTAGACAGGATCAATAAAATAAAAAAGATAATTTTTGTTGTCAACAATTTTGACTCCATATAACTTTTCATAATGCAATAAAATTAAACTAAATAAGCTGCATTAAAAATTAGTTAAAAATTATACCGGAGAACAGTGTGAAAACAAACTTACATTACTATTATAGTTTTTTTTTTCTTCTTTCAATTAGAATATATAAGAAAGGATAGAAACAGTTCTGATCTTTTGAGTTAGGTACACATGAACTACTGCGGAATTGCTGGATCGCAAAGGTTTACACGCTTGAACCAATCTTGCAGTCTTTCATGACTCTTGTACATATAACTATCCGATTCATGATGACCAATTACAAAATCATCCATACATGTTTAACTTTACCCTGAACATAAATATATTTATTAAAACAAGAGAAAAGATATCAATTTATTGGAAAGTCTGGGATCATGTAAGAAAAGTGTAGATCTACGGATAAATCCCTAGCGTTAAAAATACTGCTCATGTGTCAAAACATATTTGTTGTTAAACATACAAATTTGTGATGGGTACTATTGATTGGATTGCGCTATCGAATAATTAGCAAATGGAATAAATTTATTGGAATAAATTAAATTGCCATGAATTGGTATAGTTGTTACGATGTCAAATGGAACCTGTAAATCTTAAAGCACAGAACCGTATGCACGTCTCCTGAAATTTCTTCCTATGCTTTGACCATGATGTGTTTCATAATTTACAGTAGAATAACAATTTGGCGAGTATTGGTAAACTAGTTCGCCTGATGTAGAACTGACGGCGGCGTCATCAAAGCAAACCTGTATTGGTACACTAGGTCATAAATAATTTTTTTATATGCTACATGGGTTCATCTAGCTTTGCCGCTTTGCCAGTGCAGTGCAGAGCATTGCTTGGGGGGATATTTTATTGGTATAATACGTATTATTATTTTTTTTTTGATATTATTACTTGTTCATATCGTAACCAGTAAAGGGTAAGTTATTAAAATAAATGTTATTATGTAATTATCTATTAATTTAGCATAGTTCTCTGGAGACTCTTTGAAGCGGGGGATAACAAAATAACTCGGGAAAATCCCCAAATAGTGGAACCGGTTTTTGTCGAAAGTATCAAAACAAACTCAGAGTTTAAAAACAAAGATTTACACGTAAAAAGTCAATGTATTATATTGAATATATATGAATGTTTGAAAATTGAAAATAGTGAACAATGTGATAAAAAGTTAGGAAATGGATTAACGAATTAACTAAGATATCAAAAACGACAATTTATCCCTTAATTAAAGAAGGTACAAAGAGGAAACGGAAAAATACAAAATTAAAGAAAATTGACGATTTTACCAGATGTAATGTGGGGCACAAATTATAATATGCATAAAGAAAATAAAGTTCCTACTTTAAACATGATTCGAAATAAATTAAGTGATTATCCTGATTATAATTATAAATCTTTAGATATTTTACGACATGTTTTATTACAATGCGATTTTAAACATAAAAAAACTTGATAATCGTATGGTAATTTGCCACGACCTTACCCAAGGTCGCACCTTGACCGATGTCTAAACAGTAGAGTGTAAGATTTTCTACCTCAGCTATATGTAGACGGTAGGTTGTTTGGCCAACCCAATGGAGATGGGGGGGTTGATTGAATTAGGAAGTAGTATTCTACTAACTAGTTAACTAGGTTGTTATGGGCGCCAGACAAATTTTCCACCACCAAATCACCAACTATAATTTCTACTACTTGATCAAGAAAACTTGTCAAACAAGATCAAATAACACACTCAATGATAACATCATTTATTAATCTGCACTCTATTTAAGATTAGATCATAAGAAAATAGAAAATATAGATTGTTACTGCTGCCGTTAATATAAATAATTCGCAATAAATAATAATATAAATAAGGGAAAAAAATTAAGGGCGTAAGGTTATAGATGGGATTAAGCGAATAAAAAAAACAATATGTCGTCAAGCGTCGCGTGAGCTCAGGCGCAGCACCGGCTTCGTATAAGCCCCGATAATACAAGATAAATTCTTGCAAAAAAAATAAAATTATTATTGCAACACCTTAATTTTCCTTTGGTCCACCTCGTGAGGATCTAATTATGACTAAAAACCGCGAATCATGTAGTAGCTTGAACAAAGGAATAATTACCAGTATGGCAGTAGTGAACAATTTATATATCTTTAGACAACAAGAAAGAAATTAAATGCTCTATATGAAAAATACTGATGGAATATCAATCAGAACATGTAAGTTCACAACTCCCACTTCTAAGTTTAGACGTAAACTTAATAATATAAAAACAAAACCCTAATGAATATTACCTTTGCCCACTTAACCTATTGTTAATTACTTCTATTTATAAAATAAATCTTAATAATAATACTATACTAATTATTAACGTGTGTAGGAACAGCAGGAGAAAAAAAATAACTATTTTATCACTTGCGTGCGTCCCCGTGGATGACACATCTGCAGATCCAGAGATCTTTCAAAAGGTTTACTTCACCAGACTAGAGATCTTTCATAAGGTTTACTTCGCCGGACTAGCCCAACATAAGAACCCTAAATCAAAATTGAGTGATATAAGTGATCACTATATTACTTTGAGAAAAAAAACGAATTAAATGCAGTAAAATGTGTACCTACCGAACCATTTGAACAGTTAAAACAATTACTTGTTAATATGCTTGAACATTGAATTTTTTTTGAGAAAAGGACAAAAGTCAGTTCGGCAGATTGGCGATTAGGTTCCACAAAAATTACTCAACATGCGACGGTCCACAATCAACATAAGGCGTTTGAAAAACAAATATTCCTCAAGAACTGATTTTCAAAAATCACAAAAGTTTTCTCAACACTACGACACACCCAATCCACACAGCCAGGTACCGGAAGTAATAAAGTGTAAAATTTGCGCGGATTCCCTCCTGAGTTTAAGCTAACAAAAAAACTATCCCTGACCCCTATTGGTTGGAGTCTGACCACTTAAAACTAAGTAAACTATAGTAAACAATTATTAACCCTAAAATAAAATCTAATATGATTTATAACACACTGATTAAGTTCCCTGAACATAAATAAGTAGCTAAATATATCATTCCCACGTATATTTATTAGAAATACCTTGATGTAGAAAAGTGGTAACATGGAAGATTCAGCGCACAATCGGGCAACAACGCACCACGCAGAATCAGCACTGAATTCGGCAGGTAGGTAGGTGGAGTTTCAGCGGGAAGACAAAGGACGAAAAGAAACGAAATGGTCAAATGTCAACACAAATTCCCATCCTTAGGAAATAATCCACAAAATGCCAATCGTTCATCTACGAATCTACAAAAATATGGTAAGTACCAAACAAATGACTTAATGTTCTTAACTAACTTTGTCTATCCTGAGTATAGTCTATCGATAATCTACTAAGTATTAGTTGCTTGTTTACATTTTAGGTTATCAGTATGATTGAATGTTTATTTCTATTCTAGGAGCTAGGCATGCACTTGGGTGGTTCTAATACGATTTCTCTCTAGGATCTCACGGCTGGCGACAGTTGTGGATGAATAAACATTATTTACTAGACCTGGATACGAATGCATTAAGGTAACGATAATAATTGTTTTGGTGGCTAAAAATTTAGACCTTGAATAATATATAGGCAATACACAATACACAACCTTGTAATTAAGGTGACAGGACCCACAACGATTCCTGTTAAATAACCTGCATTTGAAATGAATTACAAAGAGAAAATATAATGTAATACCCCATTAATAAAGAATAAATGCAATGTGATACTTATATATTTACTTTTATTGCGGTTAACGTAAATTGCCTGTTACAAATTATATGGTAATATAGCTCGGAATATAGTAGATCTAGACGAGACAGGGCTAAATTTTTCTGGACGTCTATGGATTCCGTAGAATTTATGAGTTAACCCTTTCGCTGCGCAATACGTCTGAACGTAGCTACCTGGCCGTGCGCGAAAGTTTATTGCGTGCGAATATATACGTCTGGAGCAGTTACACCACTTATAATTTTACATTATGTTGTGTTAAATTACGATTTACGATAAATTTTACGATTTTATTTTGAATAAAATACAGTATATGTACTAAATAGAAACTGAAAGAAACATGAACAATCTTGGTATTATTACCAGTACCTCTTTCCATAAAAATATTTGTCACAATCGGTATAAGCTCGCCCGCAAAAATTCGCCTTACCAATTGCAATAACCGAGTCACTAATGCGCATGGTTGCGAATATATATGGTTTGAGCAGCCTGATCCAATTTAACTATTCATGCGAATTAATCCGTCTGGAGCAGTTTGAGCCCTATAAATTTTTAGCAAATATATACGTCTGGAGCAGTGAAAGGGTTAAATGTTTTTATGCAGTTTTAATTGAAATCGTAACAACTATACCGCACAACAGTTTCAGCAAGTAACTGTTGTTCATAATACTCCTCTACTAATTAGTAAGTGTCCGTGCCTATCAACAAACTAGAAATTTATTAAGATTACTATTTTTTTTTAGAATATCTTTTAAACTATCAAATAATTCAAATAGTACTAGTTTGGTACTATATTCCAATAGTTTTTACTTGATAGTGCTCATCGCTAAAAAAATTACTAAATCATTCGTTGATTGTTTCACCTAAGGCATTCTGACGAGTATCAGTTCGAAACAGGTCTATGACTGGTGTCTCTCCTGATGAATGATCTCAGCTATACATTAGATTTGTAGTATAAGTTCCATAATATCATGAATTAAAAAATTGTTAATATTTTTACTAAATTACCTGATTGAACCTATCGATTAGTGGCTGCCTACTTGATATAGAAGTCGAACCATCCATCTTCAAATACTTATATCCCTGCTGCTCTAAAAAATCTTGAAAAATAGATATCATCGATCGCCCTTGACTAAAAAGCAATACTCTATGATGTTGCTTTTTCCAGATTTTTAACAAAGCTGACACTACTACCATCTTCCCAGATCTCTTGTAATAACCAAACCTGTCTTCAAATGGTGTAGATTCATCATCCTGAAAATTATAAAAACTAATGTTTAAAAAAAAGTAGTCCAATATACACACTTAATCAGTAGGTACTTACTTTATCATGACGGTCATCGACTTCACTTAAATATATGTCAGGATGGTTACAAATTTTTCTCAATGTGGTAATTGCAACTAAAACATTTGCTTTTATATGATTGTCAGAATACCAATTTTTAGCACCTCTTCCCAAAATCATATTTACATGTTCACTCTACAAACATTATATTTAGAACTATTAAGTACATAACCATATTGCTTTGTCTTTTTTAAGGAATTATATTGATTAACAATGCACATGAAAGGGATTTGTAAAACGTAAAACAACTAAGAGATATTTCTAACTGGTCTTTACTAATTAAAGGATTTATGGTATACTTGAACTAAGTCTATTTTGAGTGCACACTCAACTAACATATCATATCTTTATAAAGATTCTAAGAACAATCTTATAGCAAATATTATCAGTGTAGATTATAACTAGCTTTCCGCAATATACCTGCGGCCACTACAAGAATTCAGTACAAATTTACGAGGCAAGATTGTTAAAAAATTCTCACTGGTTCCTTTAAATCCATTAGAAATGGGAATGTAAAAAACAGTGGGCAAAAAAGTTAGTTTTTATCTTGTCATTCTAGGGTAGCATTTTTCCTGTATAAACGAAGGTTTGTATACAGGGTGTCTTTAAATGAAGTAGCAAAAATGGTACCAGTGAATGAAGAGCCACAAATAAGGGGATTGAAGTAAAAATACCTTATATGAAAGTTGCACCCCTGAGGCGATATACCCTCTTAAAGGAGGTAAATTTCTTGAAAAGAGAAACATAATTTCCCTCTTCCATTTTTCTCTCCGGGCTTTCGTTTTCGAGATACACGGTGTCAAAACTTTTTTTTAGATTTTTGCCAATATCTCAGGAACCGTTTGAACTACAGGACTGAGCTTTTGTACATACATTACCACTATTAATAGCTACTTGTTGCAAATGTTGTTAAATTTCGTTAAAATTGTTAATTATTACTACCTATCTTTTGAATCACAAAAGATTTTCGAAACGTTAGTAAAATGTTTGTTTTTGTTCATAAAGTCATTTTTCTTGAAAACGGTCGACATTAGAGCAATGAACCAAGAGAACTCTTTTTGTGTAAAATTCATTGGCGCTTCAGAATTTGCTGCCACATGTCAATTTTTCCAGTGGCGTAAAAGTTAGGGGGGAAAAACCCTGAAGAGACCTTAAAATCTCCACCACTGTCATGTTCAATGAATTCGAGAAGGGTGCGAAAAAGTAGCTATCAATAGTGGTAATGCGTGTACAAAAACTCAGTCCTGTAGTTCGAACGGTTCCTAAGATATTGGCAAAAAATTTTAAAAAAATGAAAATTTTGACACCGTGTATCTCGAAAACGAAAACCCGGAGAGAAAAATGGAAGAGGAAAAGAATGTTTCTTTTTTCAAGATGAATTTACAGTTTTCCGTTGCGACACTTATTTAGGAACACCCTGTATAATACCACATATTTCATTTATAAAAGATTTATAACCGGATCTAAAACCCATTACAAAGAGCTTTTATTAAATTATTTTATAATTTAATTATTACAATATTCTTACAACATAAATACCATTTTGGAGTGATTTTCTATTTAATACATACCATTAAATATCCTTTATATAAATCTCGTTGTTCATGTGTTAAAGAACAAAATAATACTTGTTCGCTTTTATGGGGTAGGGAAATATCGTGCTGAACTTCATTTTTGGATCTTCTTAATAAATAAGGAGCAATTACATTTTTTAAAGTTGTCGCAACTGAGAGAGCAGTTGCCTCCTGAAAATTAATAAATATTAAGTTTTTGATTATAAATCTCTCCCAAGTAATTTTCTACAGATTTTTAGGACTTATCATATTTAATCACCACTATCATATTCAAGTATATTGTTAGTCAGTATTTTATTTAGATATTTAAAAAAAAAAATCAAATAAAAAATATATTATTTAAGATGAAAGAGTAGGCACAGGTTTTTAAAATCATTCCAAACATATTTTCAAATTATTATCAAAATTACCTTACCTGCATTGGTGTGGAATTTGTAAAACCTCCATGTAAAATGGGATTAGCAAAATGTTCCTGAAATGTTGCTAAGTTGCCTAGCATACCTGGATTCGTAAAATCAAACAAACTCCAAAGTTCTGTTAAGTTATTCTGCATAGGACTACCCGTCAATAAGATTCTGTGAGGTGTTCTGATCTGTTTTACAGCAATGGATACTTTAGCAGTGGGATTACGAATTTTGTGTCCTTCATCCAATACTACATAATGCCAGTTGTGTTCTAATAGATTGCCTTTGTATTTGAGAATTCCAAGATATGTCGTAATAATTACACCACTGTATTTGTTCATTTCTTTGATTAGGTTTGCTTTATTTCCTGGAAATACAAACAAATGATTTTAACATAAGTTACGTCGCTAAATACTAGAGATATACATAAACATAGAAAAAGATCCTTATGGCATCTGTTCACAGTGGGCCATGCATCACAATTGGTCAATGGGGGTCATTGCTACTGCTATCAGCCACATACTGGCTTACAATTTATATTTCATGACACAGTACTAACATTTTTTTTTATGTATCATTAGATATGTAGGACAGGCCAGAGGGCAGCACGATCAACACCATCAGTGTGTTGGAGTGCTTCGATCGCAATGCCCCTCTGGATCCTGACGGACCAAAAACGTCAAAATTTGTGGGCAAAAGTCAGCCCATACTTTGACTTATCTAATAACATAGCCTATAAAATCAATGTGCATAGTATCGTAAATCACAAACATAAAAGCCATTGCGGCTTCTGCTGTTTGCTTGATAAGTACATTTTTTATTTAAATTAAAAAAAAACTATTTAAAAAAATGGTAAGAAAGGTTTTAGGATAAAATAATGGGCCTTTAAATATAAAATAATGGTCCAGTATGTGGACGCGTAAAGCCGTAGTCAACCATATGCTTTTAAATGATAGCTGACAGACTTCAAGCCCTTTTCTGGTAGCATGTCACTTATAAAACCAATAAATATTCACTCAAAATCCCCAATTGGCCAATAAATTAGAATAAGTTCTATCAGTTGCAGTTTCGTGTCCAATTAATTGAAACTAGATTTAGAAGATTTACCATATTTTGTATATTATATTACATGTATAATAGCCAATTTTTGATCAATTTATTGGTTTAAAAATCGAAAAGTATGAAACAACTGTTGCTAATTAAAAACAAACACAACAATGACATAGCAGTTTCTGCTGTCTCGGCAGTTGTAATGACTATCGGATCGGCAATTGTTTACTAAGACAAAACATTACATTAGGGTGTTTTGCCTAAACATCAGTGCTGACCACTATGTATCGATACATGATGTGATGTTGTAGACCCGAGGGAGGCAGATCCTAAAATAATATAATATTTCGGATATTTTTTGTTTTATCCTTTGTAGGACAATAATTACTTTCTTAATTTGTTTAATAGAAATTTAAAAATATATATATTTAGCAACCTTGATAACTTCCAGATTGGTGAAGAACAGCAACACGAAACTCTGGTGCCCATTTATGGAAGTGTTGAACCCACTGATGAATAACAGTAGCGGGGCATACAATTAAAGAAGGACCGAGTCCTTTAAATCTAGAAATATATAATCATTAAAAACTCATTTTAAAAAATAGGTTTTAGAGTTAGTATTTACCTTGCATGACAAGATAGAATTTTGCTATACTCTAAGGCATTAAAAAATACTATTACTTGAACCGTTTTTCCTAAACCCATTTCATCCCCTAACAAACCACCAGAAGTATTTTGGTGAATTTTCCACAACCATTTAACACCATCATGCTGGTAGCTATAAATTAATTTAACATTACTCAAGCACTGAAGTTTTACCTCCATTGTATAATCATCAAATGAAAAACAAATTGTGATGTTCTATTATTGGATATACAGGGTGTTAAAAAAAGAGTGTAAAATATTTTAGGAGGTAATAGTATGAACCAAAATAAGCAGAAAAGTCTTAATAAACATGGGTCCGCAAAGTAACGGTTGCGGAGATATGGACCACTATTCGTTTTTCAAACATTTTATTTTATTAGGAATATACCGATAAAGGAAGCTTTTAACAAACAAAAAACAAAGTTACAGAAGATGTTCAAAGTGCCCTCCGTCCATTTCCAAGCAGGCACGACATCTTCGTCTCAACGATATTCGAACTCTTTCGAAAACACCCTCCTTGGTTTGGATTTCTTGACACTTTTGATTAATCCGTAGCTGCAGCTCTTCCAGGCTATTTACAGGAGTACCATACACTAATGTCTTCAAATATCCCCAAACAAAGAAATCTAGAGGGTTCAGATCAGGCGATCTTGGAGGCCATAAAACAGGTCCGGCCCTTCCTACCCATCTATGTGGAAAAGTTTGGTGTAAATGCTCTCTAACGGCCATGGAAAAATGAGCTGGAGCACCATCATGCTGGAACCACATTTGTTGCCTCTGATTCAAAGGAATGTCTTCCAAAACCTCATACAGTGTGTTCTGCAGAAAGTTGAGGTAAGCAGCGCCTGTTAATCGGTTTGGTAAAACAACAGGACCTAGAAACCTGTCACCTACAATACCCATCCAAATGTTTAATGAAAAACGTGCCTGATGTCCAGATTCTATTAGAGCATGAGGATTTTTGTCGGCCCAAATATGCGTATTGTGAAAATTAAACACTCCATTTCTTGTGAACCCGGCCTCATCAGTAAAAAGAATGTTTGCAAGAAAACGAGGGTCTTCAGCATCATGACGTAGAAACCAGCGGTAAAAAACCAAACGTGCTTGATGATCATTTATTGGATTTAAGGCCTGTACTCGTTGCACATGGTATGGATAAAGCAGTTGCTCGTGAAGGAATCTCCAAACAAGAGGACCACTAATTCCTACCTCGGCTGATATTCTCCGCACACTCGTACCTGGATTCTGCTCTACCAGTGCTAGAATTTCTTCTTCTGCTCTAGGAGTGGATACCGACTTTGGTCTTCCGGATAAATGGCACTGTTTGCTCAAGGAACCGGTATCACGCAATCTTTGGTGAATTCTTCCAAACATGCGTTGTGAAGGAATCTGGCGATTTGGATAAGCGTCAACATAAAGACGTCGCGCTTCGGTGGCGTTCCCATTAGCACGACCATAATTACATGAAATGCATGTCTGTTAATTCTGTTAGAGTAACCAGCCATAGCGAAAGAAACCTTGTGCACTGAGAACAACTGTCAAATACGTACTGTTTATTTCACTAAACATCAACCAACTATTATAAGAAAATACACAACGTTTTTGCAAAATAAAAAAAGGGGCTAAAAAACATAAAACATTCCATATCTCCGCAACCATTACTTTGCGGACCCATGTTTATTGAGACTTTTCTGCTTATTTTGGTTCATACTATTACCTCCTTAAATATTTTACACTATTTTTTTAACACCCTGTATAAAAATGGGACTACCTATATAAAAGTGAAATACCTACCTATACAAATTTTGCCAAATTTTGATTGGAACTTTTAAGCCACCTTTGAGTAAATGATATTCAGAGTCTTCTTCTACATTATCGTTAAGCGCTTTTAAAGACAATTCTTCTTCTAGCTGCTTATAATATAAATCTAATCTTGACTGGTAACAATGAGGCAAACCATCATCTATTACTTTATCTATATGTTCCGTTTTTCCTTTTCTTTTTCTTTTTGTTGATTTCACTTGAACTTCATCCTCCTGTTTATACCCTTCATAGTCACTATCTATAATAATCAAATCTACTATAATCCAATATTACATAAATAATGAATAATGAATAATGTAATTAAGATAGATACCCAAGAACAATATTTCCTCAAGTTTTCTTTCTATAATAATACATATTTTTCAAATAATTACATAAAAATGATAATAATTATATAATTCATTTAATTAATAATAAATCTAACTAGTGTAAACCGTGAATTCAATAGGGGCTCTTCCCACTTTTTTCAACAGTTATTTAACACGTATTTTGTAATTTTTTAATTTTCAATCATTTTGTGCAAAATATATGAAGTAGTTGTATAGTATATGAAGTATAGTATAGTATAGTATAGTTGAAGTTTCTGAAATTCTGATATAAAGGTATTTAAACTTACAATTTGTAATTACATATTTGTGTTCGTATTTATTTGTGGTTAAATTCCGTGAATTGTAGATTTACTTCTAATTGTAAGTGAGAAGCAAATACTATTGGTCATTCTTGACACAGCCGTCTATATTGCAGTGGAAGACGCCACAGAAATCAATGAAACTTCCTAATTTTATGTTCACGAATAGTTAAGAATATGTGAGCAATATCTCGGATTTATACATATCGACGCTTTAGTACGAAAACATTATATCTCAGATTTCAGTTGGAAAACATGTTATCTCAAATTTCAGTTGGAAAACAGGCTATCTCAAATTAAGTTTGGAAAACATGCTAACTCAGATCTTTAAGTAAAAACATGCTATCTCAGTATGGCTAGAAATTTAAGTTGGCACTTTGAATTATTGAAACCGTGCATTTATATAAACTTATATAATATATTTTTTTTAAAGTAGGGAATGTTTATGTTCAGGTACACTGTTTATTTTATTTTTTTTATTCGACATTTTTCCATTAATTTTGTTAAGTTACTGTTATAAACGACAAAATTGTTAATTAAAAAAATAGAATAATATGCAGTATGCTGCAACACGTACATTACTCGACATTTTTTGAAATAACAAATTATAAAAAAAGTTGTTATTACTAAAAATTATTCGATTTTTTTCATACAAGTTTGCTCTGATATAAAAATTAATAGCGCACTCTTACCTGATTTATAGTCACTACTCTTACTTTTGTTAATAGAGTTAACATAATAACCAGAATATAAATATAATGTATAAAGTTAAATGATATGTATACATAATATCTCGATGCGACGGACGCATATTATTTGCAGGTGCATATTTCCGCGGTTTCCCAGGCACACATGTTTATCATCAGCAGATCATAAAGTACCGGTAATAAAAGTGTCGCATACCTGCATTTCATTTCCAAAGTCTATGCAAGGACGCGATACCTTGTTTTTATTGAGGTGCAGTAAGAACGATTCGGACCCGGAGTTTGGGGCCTAGCCTGGTCCACTATATAATTCTTTTTATTGTAGTCTCAGGCATACAAAATTATTTTCAGAATAAATTGTGCATCCCAGATTTTGTGAAAAAGAAAAATAAGTGTATCAAGAGTAGCGACTATAAATCAGATAAGAGTACGCTATTAATTTTGATATCAAAGCAAACTTGTATGAAAAAAATCGAATAATTTTTTGTAATAACAAACATTTTTATACAGGGTGTCCCGTAAGTCATGGATCAAACTGCTCTGGGTGATAGAGTGTCGCAAATGGCGTCCTCTATCACCCAGAGCAGTTTGATCCATGACTTACGGGACACCCTGTATATTAAGGTATATACTATTTATTTTATAATTTGTTATTTCAAAAAATGTCGAGTAATGTACATGTTGCAGCATACTGCATATTATTATATTTTTTTAATTAACAATTTTGTTGTTTATAACAGTAATAACAAAATTAATTGAAAAATGTTGAATAAAAAAAATAAAATAAACAGTGTACCTGAACAAAAACATTCCTTACTTTTTTTAAAATATATAAGTTTATTATAAATGCACAGTCATTGAATGTGCCAACTTAAATTTCTAGTCACACTGAGATAGCATATTTTTACCTAAAGATACGAGTTAGCATGTTTTTCAACTGAAATTTGAGATAGCATGTTTTCCAACCGAAATCTAAGATAGCATGTTTTCGTACTAAAGCGTCGATATACATATATAACATGACAAGTTTCTATAAAAATTTTCCCTAGAGAGCCCTCCTACGGAGATACAAGCCCTTAAAGGATGCCCCTGAAAATCGATTTTTCAAATACTTTGTGTAATTTAATTAATTTTAGGAAAAAACAAATGTAAATAATAATGGCATTTTTTTAGATAGGCACAGAAAGAATGCAAATTTCGTCGGTTTATTTCTCTTTACGGATGTAATAAAAATCATATTAAAAACAGTTCATTTTATCAATATCAACTAAGAATGCCTTTTTTTAGTTTAAGGTTCAAGCTATCTAAAAAATAATATTTTTGTGCTTTAATCATAAAGGGTGTAAAAAATTGACATTATTGTGCTACAGCTGGTCCATCTCTAACAAACCAAATAAGCCTAATTGTTGTCATGGGTCAATTCTTAAGAAATTTTCTTTGGAGTCTTCTTTGATGTCCATCGTATAAAAAAATAATTAAATTACACAAAATATTGTTATTAAAAAAAATCGGTTTTCAGGGTCATCCTTTAGGGGCCTGTATCTCCGTAGGGAGGCCCTCTAGGGATAATTTTTATAGGGACTTGTCCCTTGTATACATCCGAGAGATTGCCCACATATTCTGGGACACCCTATATAGGCCAGAGATAACTTTAATAGAATAACTTTTATGATATAGGTCTTATTTATACATTATATTAAATAAAAAACTAGCCTGATTTAACATAATGCAATGTTAACATATATCTACATAAAGATAGGTAAGATTAAATGAGTAAGTTTTTTCTTCATCAAGAATCAAGAAAAACACTATAATGTAGGGAGCCTCGAAGAAAAGTAGATTCAGTGCCTCTAAACATTATTAGAAAACAACTCTATTGCTGATGTTAAAGCATATTTTACATTTAATTAGGAAAATAATATGTATAAGTATTTAAATTACTGGTCATACTGTTTTTTATTACACAGAAAATAAGTTGGTATACCTGACAAATAAATAAATTCCAAGCGTCTAATACTGCCTATCATCAAAAATAACAAAACACGTATTGCTTTGTGATATGTTGCAATATTGCATAGTATATAATATAAGATAATAATAAGGTTGGGCTATAGCTCTTGGGTACCTGGCATATCTCCGTCAAAAATGAATATAAAAATCTGAAAATTTAAGGGTGTACTCTAGATGGGAAGACCTAAGAGCGCACGTAATTTCAACTCACCCCTTCCACCCTAGGGGGTGCAGAGGGGGTGAGGGCTGTTTTTTTTTTGGACGTACCCTATTTATTTTGCGATTTTCGGATTTTACACGTAAAACTACCTCCGGAAATGCGTTGTTGCCGAATTCGCACAAAAACCAAAATCCACCTCATATGGACTTTGTCCATATGAGGTGGATTGTTTTTTCGATGACTATAGTTCTTGGGTACCTGGGCATATCTCCGTCAAAAATGAATATAAAAATCTGAAATTTGAGGGGTGTACTATAGGCGGGGAGACCTAAGAGCGAACGTTATTTCAACTCACCCCTTCCACCCTAGGAGGTGCAGAGGGGTGGTTTTTAGACGTAGCCGCAAGAACGCGTTTCCGGGTGTAGTTTTACGCGTAGAATCCGAAAATCGCAAAATAAATAAGGTGCGTCCAAAAAAAAACACCCCTCACCCCCTCTGCACCCCCTAGGGTGGAAGGGGTGAGTTGAAATTACGTGCGCTCTTAGGTCTCCCCATCTAGAGTACACTCTTAAAATTTCAGATTTTTATATTCATTTTTGACGGATATGCCAGGTACCAAAGAGCTATAGCCCAACTTTATTTAGCTACTCGTTAAACATTATCAATATATATAGTAAAACGTAAGAAATGATTTAGATTTAGCAAATACATAAAAAAAAATCTAACCAAGTTCACTACCAGAGGGAACATATTCACTCCCAGAATTTCCATTTGAATCTTCTTCGATATCTCTATTGACACTAGAAATATTTTGTTCTGTCAGATCACTTTGTTGTTTATCATATAAATGCATGTGAATACTGTCCAATTTATGAGGATTATATTTTCTTTTTTTAATTTGCTTGGAATGAACATTTTTCTTACTTTTCTTTGATATTTTCTCACCAAGGTCTTTGCTGTATTCACTTGTACCCAAAGACTTTCTGTATTCTTGTCTTTTTTTTAATTCCTGTTGTCTTTTAATATATGTTACAATGTCTAAATTTGTTTCTTTTGTTTCTTTATTATTATTTTCAATTTCCACTATTTCACCATCTTCTAAAGATTCTAGATGTTTTTTTTTATCCTCTGTAAATGTCTCTAATTCTTTTAATGCCTGTTTCTCTAATACCTCTTGATTTGTACTCCACACATTAATGCCTTCAGATAATTTTAATTCATTTAAATCATTCTGAAATGAAAGAGAGAATAAAGTTTTATTTTTTAAACTGCAATTTTACCTCTATTATTAAGTTATCGACCATTTTATTATCTTTTATTATACAAAAAATATAATTTGTATGTGTAGTGACAACTTCGGGTGTCGATCACTGGTACTTAGTGCTAAAGAAAGCAAAGATGATGTAGAATGTAATGTGATGATACTAAAAAGTATTGTAATGCAAACTGCAAATAACGCAAATAACACGCACAAATTGCTTACAAAATCTAAAGACAATTAAATTTAACCTACAAAACTAATATTTTAGAGAAATTATTGGTATCGGCTGTGCTGCAATAAATCTGCCATCTAACGTAAAACATTATAACTTATAAATAAAAGCAATAGTTACAGACATGGAGACTACACTACTGTGCAACACTCCATGCAAACAAATATATTACCAAACTAGAGGGCGCTAATGTCCCTTTAGTGATGTGTAAACATTTTTAAATAAATAATGTAAGCTACTTTGAATTAGATAAATAAATCAATAAATAATGAAAATATGTCGGTGTACATCTTAGATTAAATTGTATACTATATTAGATCTATGGTGTACAAAGTACACTAGCGACCCTAGCGGTAATAGCTATAAGTAATTTCTACTATTAAGGCTTGTTTACACGGACAGTAGGTAAGTGGTAACTAAATTTTAAGTTAGTGCATTTTTCTGCAAGTGTTGTTCGCACTGGTAAGTTCTAAGTTTAGTCGTTGGTAAGTTCTAGTGCAGTTTATATATTTGCAAACTTGACGAGGTGTACGTGAGGCAACAATTTGTAGAAGAATTTAATGGTATGCTACGGAATATCCTGTGGAAGTGTATCAGCAGGAGGGAAAAGTTCGGAGCAAGTCGTCAACTTGCACGAAAAAATAGAATAAATTCTATTCCAGTGTACTAAATTTTTACTTGCTCCATAACTTGTTACTTACCACATATGCGCTGTTCAAATAGGTTCAAGTGACTTAAAATTTAGTTAAAATTTAGTTGACTGTTCCCGTGTAAACAAGCCATTGACGGATATGACGGAGTTGACGGATATCGTTTTTAATTTATGGTAAAGCAAGACAACATTTGTATTATGGTGAAGCATTTGTGTTATAGTGAAACAAGACAGCATTTGTGTTAGTTCGTGGAAACTGAGTAAGACGGACCCAAATGTGTTTACACGTTGCACGGTGGATAAAATTTTGAACAATTGTTGTTGTAACATTGGGTATGTCAAATGATTTTATTATTTAATGTTATTGTTATTATTAATTTTATTAATTAATAATAACAATAAAGGCAAAATCAGTTGATTTTGCCGATATAAAATAGGTGCTATAAATTTCTATTTATTTCTTTCCTTGCGAAAGTTTTTGTTCGTTTTTATCACACCGCCATGCCGGTCGCATTGTGCGAGGTCAGGTTTTACAGTGGTCCAGTTTCCAGTGCCGTGCAGAAGTGTAACTACCCTTTTTGATTTTTTAATTACAAAATTGTATTTGTAAGGGTTCCCTGTACATCCAGAATTTTTTGAATAAGTTCTGAATCACCCTATATATTATATACAGGGACAGGGTGTTAGTAAATAAGTGCGACAAATTTCAGGGGGTGATTCTACATGAGAAAATAATGGCAGTTTGCTTATAAACGTATGTCCGCAAATGATTCGTTTTCCGAGATACGGGGTGTCAAAGTTTTTCTTAAAAACTGACGATTTAATTTATTGCTCTGAAACCGGTCGAGATGTGCAAATGAAATTTGGTGGGTTTTAAGAGGTAATTATTGCGCATTTTTTGACACACAATTAAGAATTTTATGTTCATCATTGGCGCGCGTACGGGTAATAATCTCAATTTTTTTAAAGAAAAAAATGGTACGCCACTGAGATATTACAAATTAAAAATCATTTTTGAATTCCTCGTTCAATTTGTGACAAAAAATCTGTCTTGCCTTTTCTTCGTATGGGGCGCCGTTTTGATGCAAAAAAATAAAACATCTTAACGCGTATTTTTTATTTTTGAAATTTGTCACATTTATTTACTAACACCCTGTATATGACTAAAATTAGAACTAATTTCAGTAATTAATTAAGAACTTTTTAGTCTTGCATAGTATAATACACAAATTGCAACAAAAATTGTTGCAGTTTTTGTATGATACTATGCAAGATTAAAAAGTTTCTTAGTTAATTACTGAAATTAGTTATAATTTTAGCATATTGTCATATACAACCCTTACATTGTCAAATTTTGTCAATATTCCGTATAAATTCGTGCTCCTTGTCTAGTCTTCCTGGTTACAGATATGGAGACTAGACAAGGAGCACCACTCATACGGGAAAATTGACCAAATTTGGCAATGTAATACTTTGAGCATATACCACTGGAGGTAAACTGTCATTGCGAAACGTATGGCTGAGTATGTGAGAGAGACAGACAGTATCTCTGTACTTGCTGTCTCATTCTTCGCTTCGACGACGAGAAGCCTGCGGGATTCAACGTGCGCGAGCATTCATCTCCAAATAAGTTGAAACTCTGTAAATATCATATGTATACATTGCATTTAGAAAAAAATAATATTACAGTGCCATATATAATGGATGGACTTGCCCCTATATAATTTATATATCTTATAATTTTAATTCAGTTCTTTGTGCATGCATACCATAGACAAATGCATACCATTCCACAAGGGCACAAGGTAAGTTCAGAATTGACATCTAGATACTCTAGACATAGAATATCCTAACTATAGATATTCTGTGGTTAAACGGTTAGACATCTTGTGACGTAGTATGAGATATGCCACGACCATAATTTCTGTCTATTACTCACATACTTCTATCTCTAATCTCTATATAGAAGTATGTGCTATTACTCGACCGTTTTTTTACGGACCGTGCTTTTTTCGCGACTTAATTATTAATTTTCTCACTCTTTTATATATGATTTCCTCATACTCATAGATCTTATAACACAAAACATATAATACACTTATAATATAAGGGCTATGCTCATACCTGCTCATACTACTCATACTACAACCAACGACTTCACTCGCGAAAACAAGCCTATTAAAAATTAGCCATTAACAACATTAACCTATAAAAAAATTACAAGTTGCAAGTAAAATACCGTTGCATGAGGGGAATTAACATTACTAGTAATTATTTATGTTAATATAATCACAAAGAATGTGGAATGAGCAAATATTATTACTTGGACGTTTCTTTGTTAGTACTCTATTATTTACCTTTTCTTTTCAATCATTAGCTGTAGTTAACCTTACTTTTTGTTGCAGACAACTAGCGAAAACTTCTGAAAATACAATAACTGCTACATATTTTAAGAATAATATAGTAAATGCTGTGAATCAGTTATTTGGGGAAGTAGCAACTGCAGTTAATATTGATATTTTAAAATACAACTCTACAAATCAAAGAGCTATTTTACGGGTCCCCAAAACACATTATATTAAATTAAGGAGTAGTTTAACTCTTTGTGGTACATACGAAGGTGAACCTTGTGCTTACAGAATTCATAAAGCAAGCCCATTGCTCTTAGCACTCCAAGGAGATAGTAGAGATTATCAGCATTAGTAAAAATGTCTCACTGCCGAAGAATTGGTCCAGACAAAAAAGACGTAGTAATATTTGCCACTAAAGAAGACCATCAAGTTCCTAGTACCGTAAAACTACCCGAGCCAGATCCACAACCAGGATTGATTTTGCCCAATGGTGATATTAATTGGAATTGTCCCTGTCTAGGAGGAATGGCTACAGGCCCATGTGGTGTAGAATTTCGAAATGCTTTTAGTTGTTTCCATTATTCAGAAGCTGAACCAAAAGGTAGATACATATTTAATGCAAGCAAACAGTAAGGCTGTGTTCAGCCAATAGTCTAGACTTTTCAACTTCAACAATTCGCTGAATAGCTTCATATTATTTTTCATAGGTAAACTAAAACTCTTGTAGCACTTGTTTTGCTAATATTTGGTCTTTAACATATACCATATGTTTATATGTCTTTATTATCTTATTATTATTTATGTCTTTATCACATACCATAGGGGCTCTGTTTTAGTCATTGAAATATCTTGACTACAGAAGTAATGTAAAACCTGCCCAGTATCCCACTCAGTTGATTGGGAACAATGTAATATTTGTTCGTTGAGTGACTAACTAGCCTGATCATTCGTTGAACACACCCTTAATCGTTACTAAGTTCTGATATAATCTAAGATCCTAACTTAGATCGTCCTTCACCCATCGAGTTTTCTAATGAAATTTGAATTTTGATAATATAATTTATTAATAAACAAAACTTGATTTGGTCGACATCCAATTTCCCTGCATAGCTATTTTTAATAAAAAATTAAAGTTCAATTCAATTCAATTCAAAATTAAAGTTCAATTCAAAGTTATCTGTTTACAGTGGCGGTTTTACCATAAGAGCTGCGGAGCTGCAGAACACATAAAATTTTATGTATTTAATCATATTAAATATCAACAAAATATTTAAAGAATCTAAATGTACTCGCGCTAAAATAAATCTAGGAGCTTATATTATTATTTATTGCGACGCGAGCTACGCTCCTTAATATATGCAACCTCATATACAAAATGTGTGCACAGCGAACAATTAGATGCGTTCTTTGTTTTTATTGGCTAATCAGGCACGTGACCTAGTACACGAAGATGGGGGCTTTTGCGGCTGCATCAGCGACAGCCACTGCTGCAGTAAATGAAATGCAGTAATATTTCGTACGTGGTATGTGGTGGTTTATTTCTGCGAGCGGAACGTGTGAATATTTTCGTTTAGGCGTCTACGGATATTATAGTTATTAAAATGAATAGCGTTTCGTTTAAAAAAAAACTTTATTTGGTTCTCTGCCTTATGAGGATAAACTACAAATAAAAGAATTAGATGGGCCAACACCACAATTAAATTTTGAAGTTAGTGGAACAAGCCGAAGTAAAAGTTATAAAAGACAATTTAACAATAATGTATACACAAAAGCAGAGTGGGTGTGCGGGTGTGATTTAAAAAATACACTGTTTTGTTTTCCGTGCTTACTTTTCGGTGGGGATAAAGCATGGACAATATATAGTGTGAAATATTTAAGTCATTAAGTCTTTAGGTAAAATAAACATAAGAAGTCAGTTAGATTCTGCATATTGGGATAATATATGGAAACACAATGAATGAAAAATGTATTATCTAAAATCATAGATTGCATAAAATTTTGCGGAGCATTCGAATTAGCACTTCGCGGACACGGCGAGACAGAAAATTCGGACAACCCTGATGTGTTTCGCGGACTCATAAATTTTAGTGCAGATCTTGACGACATATTAAAAGAACATCTAGCCACATGGGTATGACCGGGATTTTCTGTGATTGTACTGGGAATTAGCTGTATGGTCCTGGATTTTGGATTTGCACGTATAACTCCCGGAATATAATATAATGTACATATATATAAAAAAAAGATAAAGAAAAAATCATAACACGCTGAGGAAAATTAAAATTCGTTGAATTGTTGGTAAATTTCACAAACGATTTTTTTGTTTATAAACAATATTCAATAATTTAATAAAATATATTTAGTTTATTCCAATTTATTTATGATATTTCAAAAAGGTATCAATTTCAAAATTCATTCTTGTGAAAAATCTGTATTTTTGTATAAATGGATTGTTCCTTGAAATTCAGAAGTGCCAGGAAAACGCGTGACCTTGAAAATTTAAAAATTTTTCGCCTGTGGCACCATTTAGAGACTCCGGGCACTTCATATCACGGAATTCAATACAACAAATGTAACAACCCTAAGCAGAACACATTCAATCAATGTTCACGCGCCGCCACTGCCTGTTTATACCTGTCTACTTTATGCAAGGAACAAAAATGTCCACCAAACTTTGGCATATTATATACATATTTTACTATCTATTGGTAATAAATTTATCCAAAAACTCAATAACTACATTCATGAAAAAAAATCAACAATTTTAATTTTTTTATTAAAAATAGCTGTGCAGGGAAATTGGATTTCGACCAAATCAAATTTTCTTTATTAATACATTATATTAACAAAATTCAAATTTCATTAGCAAAATCGATGGGTGAAGGTCGATCTAAGTCGGGACTTGTACAAATATGTTTGATACTTTGATAGTTGGGTTTATTATTTAAATATTACCCATGACTTTACTCCGACCTCATATTATTATCTTTGTGCAAAAATTACTATAAATTTAACCAATTATAACTTGATACCAAATCTACGAAATTTATAAGCAAATGCCACTATTGAATAGGAATAGATAATTTAGTTTGGAATTTATTCTTTCTTTGAGCTTTATCTTTTAAAATGTATCAAAAAGTACATAATTATCTGAATGCTGTGAAGAATTTCTGAAAAAAATATTTACATTTTTCATTTTTGTAGGTAGTGACTGTTACGACTTATTTAAAACAATGCAAACTTGCATGCAGAATTATCCAACCTTATACAATAAAGACTTAGCTGATGATGATGAGTTAAGTACTATGGATAAGGCAGCAACAGACTCAAAAACTGAGCCAGAAAGAAGTAAATTAGAAGGAGTTTCAAATAAATAGTTTGATAGTTCTCAATAAATCATTTACTAGTAACTAAGTAGTTATAACCACCAATTTGTTTTTTCGTTTTTGTATTAGTTTACAAAAAAGAAAAAAAATGTAAACATTAAATAAAGGTTATATGGCTTTATTCTTGTTTTAGTTTATTTTTTCATGACTTAACTTGTCAAGTACAAGCTTTAACAGTAAGAACATATCAATAAATTTTTATTTGTTTTAAAGGACCCCGTGCAAAATGAATGGAAATTGGATCCCGCTAGATTTGGCTGGAATTGTGATATGTTATAGTTCTCGACATTCTGATGAAAAGTTGTCACGGGCCCAAAGTGATCCTATGGATAGTTTCAGAGATATAGAGGGGGAAGTGTGTGATTTTGGCTGTAGGACTGAGTAAGCTTCACGAAGTTTCAAGTTGATGGATTCAAAAACTGAGGCATGTAATGAATTTTGACCAGTAGGTACAATGATTTTGGGATCGATGAACCTGAATTCTTGGATAGCTTAGCTATCTAAGGTCACCTGGAGGTCAGGTAAAGGTCGTTTCAAGGTCAAACTGAAGAAAAGACGTATTGAATTTTTACCAGTAAGTGTATAGGTTTTTGGGCTCACAGAATCAGAATCTGGAGATAGCGTAATCCTAAAGGTCACCTTCAAGTCCATTCAAGGTCATTTCAAGATGAAACTAAAGAAAAGGCTTGTATTGAATTTCAACCAGTGCGTATATGTTTTTTTGGGGAGGGGGGAACTGAATTTGGGGATAGCTTAGCCCTTCAAGGTCACATTTAGGTCAAGGCAAGATCATTTCAAGGTCAAAGTAAAGAAAAGGCCTTTCATGAATGTTAACCTTTTGAGATCGCTGAACCTAAATTCGTGGATAGCTTAGCCTTATAAGGTCACCTGGAAATCAAGTCAAGGTTGTTTCATTTGACTTAATCTTAATTTAAGCCCCTCAGGTGACCTTATAGGGCTAAGCTATCCCCGAATTCAGGTTCAGTGACCTCAAAAGCATACATACTTACAGGTTAACATTCGTGAAAGGCATTTTCTTTACTTTGACCTTGAAATGATATTGACTTGACCTAAATGTGACCTTGTAGGGCTAAGCTATCCCCAAATTCAGTTCCCTCCCCCAAAAAAACTTATATATGCCGTGGTTGAAATTCAGTACAAACCTTTTCATCTTGAAATGACCTTGAATTGACTTGAAGGTGACCTTTATGGTTACGTTATTTGCAATTAAATGCAAGTCTTTTCTTCAGTTTGACCTTGAAACGACCTTTACCTGACCTCCAGGTGACTTTAGATAGCTAAGCTATCCAAGAATTCAGGTTCAGCGATCCCAAAAGCATTGTAGCTACTGGTCAAAATTCATTACATGCCTCAGTTTTTGAATGCATCAACTTGAAACTTCGTGAAGCTTACTCAGTCCTACAGTCAAAATCACACACTTCCCCCCTCTATATCTCTGAAACAATCTATAGGATCTCTTTGGGCCCATGACAACTTTTCATCAGAATGTCGAGAACTATAACATATTACAATTTCAGCCATATCTAGAGGGACCCAGTTTCCATTTATTTTGTGTGGGGTCCTTTTATGAACTATTCAATCACTGAATTATTTTTCATATCTCCGTTCTATGATTTATATTGGTAGGCTCCATTTAAGTATGATACACTCATGGGTTGTTTAAGGGAAAAGGTGTTCTGTAACAATATGCTACTCCTCATCGATAGCCAATCAGTTAATAATTTATCTGTGCCGCATGTATATGTCGTGCGTTTTTTGTATCTCCTCATGCCTTATAGTGAATTTATGCAGGAGAAAAAATTTCCGAAACGCATCATGTGGAATGAAAATAAATAGATTAACTACATGTTTTAGAAGATGAGTTATTTCATATAATTTTTCCTCTTGGTCGTTTTTAACTTGATTTCGCTTGCTCCTATAAGATGCAGCATACTCTGCTGAAATGGAAGCTAGCTAGCTACATAGTTGTTTTAACTAGCTTGCTGGCGATCTTTGTTTTCACATAATATTTGGGGCAGTATATTATCATTTTGACTGTCTTCTCTCTGCTTAAATGGAAAGTCTAGATAACCATAGTGCAGTTGTATTAACTATTTCACCCGCAAACTTTTTGTTTGCAGAATATTTGGGACATCATACTGTTGTCTTAACTAAACCGAGACCGAGGCAGGGCTGGTTCTTTCAGTACAAAAATGCCTCACTTTGCTTCTTCGGTTTATTAAACAACTTGGGCAACTTTGTTCGATAAGTGCTTTGATAAACCACACTAGAAAACTAGTCGAACTCATAACTTGTACCTGACAATGCAATTTGGGTGGGGTGACAAAATTGCAGAGATTTTGTTGCTGGGATAAAATTGTTTAAATTGTAGTAGTGTTACCAACTGCGCATTTTGTTTAACATGTAATATATCTGAAAGTACAGTATAAACTCTTTAACGAATCTTAAGGGACCGGGGATTTTTTTCGTTATAAAGAGTTTTTTTTATATGGAGGGAAGAAGGAAAAATCCTATCCGTTCATTTTACCATAGGTAATATTATGACGGTGTTTAAATTTTCCAAGCCAACCTTCTGATGCTTTAAGGTCAATAATGCCTAGTTGTTCGGCAAACTTCTCAGCCTTGGCTTTAACAATTGGCCCCGAGATGGGTACATTATTCTGGCACTGATTGTTAAACCGCGGCAACATTGCTTGATCTAAGTCTTTGAATTTTGGCTTCCTTAATTTTTTAGTAGACACTCCCTGCAGTTCCGCCTGTAGAATTGCTTCTTTGTTTTTCCAAATGGTAGCAACAGTAGATGGATTGAGGCCTAAACGTCTTCCAACATTACTCATTTTTCTATCGCACGTATCAAACAAACTTTTTCGTTAACGCAACGCTTTTCTTTTACGGCCATCTTGACAGTTTCAAAGTAGGTTTACGACTGATAATACACAATAGGTGCCTAGTGCGTTTAGTAACTGAGTGCAAAATTTCCTAGAAACAATGTAATCCAAGAGTAATGGTACACGTAAAATTTCAAAATAAATTGCTGTATAGCTTTAATAGTGGCTTTAACGGTGTTACTAACAGCCATAAAATCATGAAGATGGTGGGTTCGACTGTGGATTTAAAACGCTCTCGAGGCTGTTTAAACCTTTCCACAGGTCTATCAACTATAAAATACATGTTAGTAATAAGCAAATATCTATAAAAGTAAATACAATCCCAGCAATTTTGTTGCACGGAATAGAGCATGATCTAATTCATGCAATTCAGTTGCCACGACAGAATTACTTGGTTTAATAAGAAAAATTTCATGGATTTTATAGCAGCAACCAAATTCCTGCAACCAAATTGCATTGTCAGGTAGAGATGTTTTAAAATCTTATGAGCTTTGACCTTCATATGCGCAGAAACATAATTCCGACCGTCGCCTAAATTATTCTACGTCCTAAAAACATTACACCTATTATTCACAGTCTCTCTCGAGCTCTAGCGTAAACAAGCCTTTGATCCGATTACAAATATCATAATAAAATGCCCTATTCTTTATTATTTTAATTTAAACAATAAAAATATATATAACGAACGTTCGCCAGTTGACTTTATTGATGCCCGAGCGCCTTAGTTCATGTCTACTTGTAATGATGCACATGGTCTAGTTCTGAGTCAATGTTTTCACAACGTGCTTATTAGAAGAATTATGGGGATACGCCACGCCTTTCGCGCATTTCGCGGCTCATGAGATATTAAAAGA